TCGCGGGAGTATTAAAGGCACCGGTTAACCGGTGCCAAAACCGGTTTATGGCACCGGTTTTGAACCGGTGGCAAAATGGGGGTAATTGGCACCCCCACATTGTAACCGGTTCAAACCAGTGTCTTAGGTCGGGTTTGAACCGGTGCCCTTTGCTATTTTTCTACTAGTGTGTTCTCTCTCCGCTTGCATATGATAATCCTAATGGAATAAATCACATAAAATTTAAAATGAAAAATTTATGAAATCTAACATATAAGTACAAAAACAATTCTTAATTACTTTTGCCTTATTTTTATTTAATTTTTTTTTTTTTGGGAGATATCAACCATGATTACATAATTCAAGTGTGGGATTTTCTTACGTAGAGGCATGTCATTAGTCTACAATCAATTTAACCAATTAGATTTTTTTTTTAGCAGAAAGAATTATAATATATTAATTAATAGTCATACGACATCTATCTACAGCAATATAGATCTTTAAACCACCGAAAGAATTTAATATGTGTAAAACAAAACATAAAAACTATGTTAAATATAGAATACATTCAATATGAGTAGATTTTTTTTAAACAGCGAAAATAGTATATGGGATTAACAAATAGATTGAGAGAGAGTATAATTTATGTTGGGTCCACTAGTTAAGAGAATGGAATTTAAATATTGTAAAAACTTTTCAAATAAAAGAATGGAGCAAGTATTTAAAAACGACCAAAAAAAAAAAAAAAAGTAGAGCAAATATTTTAAAAAGAAGGGAGTACTAATTTCCTATCTTTATGTATTAATTCTTAGACTATAGAGGTAATAGTGAATTTAAAGAATGAGAATAAGCATTCCCAAAACAAAACAAAACAAAACAAAACAAAAAAGGCAAGAAGTTACTACTCCGATCCATTTGCCCAAAAGTACTAAGCAAAGGGTGAAACTGGTAGGGAACTCACCTTGTAACTTTAAACTTATTCGAGCCTCACTTACTACAAAAATGCTTGGGAGTAGGGAGATTCCCTTACTTCCCCCTTTTACTCTCAAACGCTGACTTGCGGAGCACCGGAGCTGGGCTGGCTAAACATGTGAGAGGCGTTGGTTTAGTAGGGTCCTCATCTTACCTTAACAAAAACAAAATAAAAAAAACCAAAAGTAGTTTTGACACTCATCATGGCATAATTTTATATGATAAATTAATTATTTAATATTTAATTATCAACTAGTTTTTGGTCCGAACAACGCCCTGGGTCATTATTAGGGGTGCTAATTGAGCAAGGCAACTCGCTAGTACTCGACTCGGTTAACGCTCGGTCAAAAATCGACGTGAGTTTGCTCGTGCTCGCTCGAATCAGTTCAAAATTCGAATAAGTATATAAGAAATTCAATATTTTTCTATCCTTAAAACAAAAATTTACCTTGGCATATAATAAATTTAAAATAATAAACTAAAGTAGGAAAAATTTATATAAAGAGAACAACATATAATCAACATATATTTGAAATTTAAGAGACCTAACCTTTAACCGAGCAACTCGTGATCGTCTCCACTCGACTAAAAAATTAATGAGCACGAGTCGAGCAACCCTTTGCTCGTGATCGACTAGCACCCCTAGTCATTATATGCATATTTTAAATAAAGTTTTATACGAAGTAATAAAAATTATATGGTAAAAAACAAATATAGATTAAATTAGTACATTTACTTCGGTACTCCTACTATTTAAATACTTCCTCCGTTTTTTAATTATTAGGTCACTTATCTTTTAAGGAAGTTTCATAAATATTGCACCATATCTATTTAAGGAAATAAAATGTCTCTATTCACACTGTAAATACCTAATATACCCTTACTTTAACACTTGATTCTTTAGTTCATGCTTACATCACATTGATAATGTACTTCTACCCTTCTCTCTCTTCCTTTTTTCCACTACAAAAAATATTGTGTCCAACCTATATGGTGCAATAATAAAATAACAGAGGAAGTATATTTTTACAATCATTATTGAACATTAAATATATTATCTAATATCTAGTATTTAAAATTATTAATTTGCTTTGTTCGACTTCAAGTTTATGAATATGAACACATTGTGATAAATTAATTATTTAATATTTAATTATCAATGTTACTCTAGTGAAAAATTACATGTGAAATAAGAGGAAGAGTTAATAGGAATTACCATACTTGTTCCAAGTAAGTGAATTGTCAGAAAGCAAGACATCCAAGATTGAGATAGAAATGAAAATCAATACAATGATTGTTTGAGGGAAGAAGGTCGTCGGGGATAACAGGCTGATGACTCCCAAGAGCGGTTTTTTTTTTTAATCACAGTTGATTGAAAGTGGTGTCAAACTCCTTGGTCTTCCAGGCAAGCCAACTCATGACGAATCTCTTGCTACAACATCAATCTCGCCCTTTTCAACCATCAAAAAGGACCGTACCAGCACGTAAAACAACTTGCTCTCTGGAATCAAGTCTTCTTTAATGGCTCTTTCGCCTATGCAACGAAGAGTAGTTTACTTACCTGCTTAGGTCGAACATGCCAACAACTTTCCGTTCACTTACGCAAGAGTTAATGTCTAACAGCTAGACATGCATTGACAAATGTCAAACAATGGCAATTTTGAAAATAAAAGGGTATGTTTGGTTCAACTTAATTTCATTTCAGCTCCAATTAATTTAGTTCCTAATTTCCTTCTCTCATAAACAATTAATTTCAACTCCAATCAATTCAGTTAAATTACTTTTAGTAAATTGGAAAGGCCCTTAAGGGATAAAATGATACTACTTCATTAAAAATATCACAATTTTTTTTTTTCAACAACAGTATAAGTTAAAATAAAAGTATTACAAACTAAGAGCCTTACTAGAATACTAGCTCCTCTATTACAACGCGAATACATTAAATTAAAGAACTTCCACATTTGATCTTGCTGATTTGAATAATCTGTCATTATCCTTTGAGCATGCGATGAGAAACACACCATTCTGTTTATGTATTCCACTTTCTCTTGAACTTAGAGAATGTAATGGAGGACGACGAACAAACAAATTCTGATATACATATAAACGAGATGAAAATGACACTAAGTGCCTATTACATTACGTAAATGGGGCAGGAAAACAAAGCACTTTGGGCGTACAATACACATTGAATCACCCATTGTGATTCGATACCCTTAATTGCGGGTACCATTGATCCTTTCTCAAAGAAAAAGACCATTGACATACTATGAACCTCCAAAATATCATTTTGGAGGCCCCCAAACATTTCATTTTGGGGAGCAGTGTTAAGATAGGTATTTTTCAAAGTAATAGATTGAAAATCCACTACTAAGCTGAAACAAAGGACATCAATGAATAACCTTTTGAAACTCTTTCGAATGAAAAAATCGAAAGAGGAAACAACAAACAACCAACAAACCCTAACCAACCCTATGAACCAAACCATACTGTAACAATGGAAAATTCCCCACAAAACCAAAACTTGCATACCTAAAATTCTAAACAGGAGCAGGACACACCCTTTTAAATCCACCAATAAACTTGACAAACACCAATAAGAACAAAGAGAGCTGCATCTCATAGCACCAAACTCATAGCAAGGACCCATAGAAACAAGGAAAACTAGAAATAAAACGAGAAAAACAATTAAAGCCATTAAACAAGCAAGAAAAAAACCAGCTAACACCGACCTCCGATTACAGCCTTCCCCTTGAAGGTCAAACTGGACTAACATCACCGGCGGGAAGACAACCAAGAGACAAACCCAGTATTGGTGTCACAAAATAGAAAATGGGCAGAGGAAATCAAAGGAGCGAGAATAAAGCCCAACGCAAGAAAACGAAGAAACCCTAACCCTAACTTTACCTTTACCAACTCGATTTTTTCGATCACACGTAGTCGGCGGCGTTAGAGCTAGCTGTCGAATCTTGTTTCGTCAAACGAAACCTTCAACCCAAATTGAAAATGGACTTCTTATCCTTTGGTGCCCAAACACAAAGCTTCTTGTACTTAAAAACAGGAAACTGAAGAAAAAAAAACCCACTTAGAGAACTTTCCGGTGAGAAGAGGTAGCACTAAGCGGAGTTTGAAGCCCATTGGGAGCCTGGTACCACTTCACCTACAACGCTAGAACACGAGCAAAGAAAAACTTAAAACATGGAAGAAAAACCCGCCGGAAAACTGGCCCCGTAGCTCCGTCGAGTTCTAGATTTCTGGAGGGCTTTCTGTTTAGAGGAGAGAGAACATAGCATTTAGAGGAGAGAGTTTGTACAAAATCCTTATAAAGGATGTTTTATGTTATGTTGTTCTTAGCTATTATTTTTAATATCTAATAATTAGACATTAGGACTTCCTCAAATGAGATAAAGGCTAATACTTTTTTAAAAGAGAGAATTGTAAAAGAAGATATTGGGAATATAGTTGTCAGATAGAATTAGACCCCTCAAATTGTAGCAAGTATTTTCATATGAAGGATTAAAGGGATCTTATTTGGTTCCTTAATTATGGCCTAAAATAGTTTGACTGACACACTTGTTACTCCATAATGCATAATTTTGACAGTAATGCATAATTTTAACAATAATACAATCTCCGTTTAACATTATGCACAACATCTGAGTATTTTTATTTGATAAAAAACTCAATTGATTCATACTTTTGGGACATCGAATTTACAAGTGAAAATAAGCCTGATGGTTGGATGCCTGGATTTGGGTATATGCAAGCACAACCCACCTGTTGCACTGGGCCCTTTTGAGGTTAAATACTTGTACATAGTATGAACTTTACTCATTGCAATTACATACCATTAGTATAAATACTCCAGCGGCTCACTCTATTGGTTAAAAAGCTACTTGCATATCTTTGGTTATGTGCAAAGAGCAACTACTAAATTTTTTTACTAGAGGTAAACTGTAATGAGCAAAACTCCAACTTCAAGCAAAAACCAAGCATATAAATGTTCGGACAGTTAGCATCCGATTCATACTCCATCACAATGGCCGCAATCAAACGCTAAAATAATGGACTATATATATGACTAAAAAATGGCTAGAAAGTCTTATGAATTTTTTATTGTAGCAAATTTCTATTATTGCATTGAAACAAACTTGAATTTCAGAAGAGCACCAGCTTCATAATGCTCTTGCACCAGCATAATATGAAAACTTGAGTAACTAGAAAAAAATATCACAAACCACAAATATAATTCCATGCAAAAGACAATAGAAGGAACCTTACTCCTGGTAGGTTTGATAAGCAGAAGACAAACTTACAGTACAGCGAGAGTGCCCTCACTTCGACTTTTGTGGAGTGAGAGACCAGATCTCAAACTTTGAAGCTTGTTGGAAAAGTCGATATTATTATGGTGGTGACTCGGTTTTGCCCCACTTGGTGGAACCAGCACATGTTTCCCTTTAGATTGCCTCAGAGAGTCTGATGATTGACCCTTCTGCCCATGTGTATATGAATGAGTTGATCGTTTTGGAGCGCCACTTCCACTACGTGAGGAAGACTTGTGATCAGATCTAAGTCCCCGGTCTGAAATACCCAGTCGAACAGACCTATCTGAGGAATCTTTCAGTGTGCTGGATTTTATATTCAGCCGGTTGTAGTAAGCTAGATAAGGAAGTAGGTCCTGTAGATACTTTTTCAGTTGCTCATCCCCGACATTTTTCTGGGCAGGATTTCCTTCCAAACTGATAGCTTGCAAGGAATTGTAATTAGCAGCAAGTTGTCCTAGACCTTTGGAAGTAGCAATCTTGTTGAACCGCAAATCAAGAACAGTTAGCTTTAAAAGCCTGTGTAGACCTTCCACCTCACTGATTTTATTTCCAGCTAAGTATAATTCCTTCAAAGTGGAGCATGATGTAAGACCTTCGAAACCAGACCACAACATGAACATGAATTACACAATATAAATTTTGCAAGGGAAAACAGCAAAAATAAATACCAGACATCCAGAAACAATATCTAACATCATGAGAGCTAAAAATTATATACCCATTAGGAAATTTTCTTCCAAAGACATACACGTAAAAAAAATTCGTCATTTACTTCAATCACAACATTTTTAACAACTTGGAAAGAATGAGAAATCAAAATAGCGCTGGGGCATAAACAAAAAATGGAAGAAGATACAAAAGTCAAAGGCCATTCATTCCATTCTTGGGAAAGAACACCTCAATCAAGATAAGATATTTGGAAAAAGCAAACTTTGCATGCCTACCAAATAAAACTCTGCTTACAAACAAGTACCCCCCCCCCCTCTCCAAGCCCAATCCCCACGGCTATAGATGATTTGGTTATCTGGTGTCACCATCACCTTCTAGGTTTACGATTTGTTCCATCTAACAAAAAAAATATCTTGCCTTCTTGGTAGCTAACAAACAAATAAAGGTGGTGTTTGGTACAGGGTATTTAAAAAAGTAAGGAAATCAAAAAGGTTGATTCCCTTTGTTGATGTTTGTATTGACATATTGGTCATTCCCTTTCCTCTCTATTTCCCCAAAGTCTTCTAGGTTGATTATCCAATCCCCCCTAGGTATTTAGATTCTTTTTTCTTAGCCACCATCACACCACACCACACCAGAGCCACCATCACCAACTCACCAACGCCACCTCACCACCCCACCGCTGCCACCCTAACTGCCACCACTTCGCTACCCATAAGCCGCCACAAGATCCATCCAAGAGTCAACCCAAAAAACCCACCACCCTAGAACATCCACCCCACCCCATTCTACCAACTTGAAAAACCATTGACACCCCCGTAAATTCACCTCCACCACCCTAGAACATCCACCCCACCCCATTCTACCAACTTGAAAAACCATTGACACCCCCGTAAATTCACCCCCACCCCCTGAAAACCCACCCACTCCCGTAAAATCTAATCCACCCACCCCACCCTAAAATAATCTATTCTAAGGGAGCAAAAGAGATAGAGGAGGTGCTCTAATGAGATGTGGTGGTGCAAGAGTGAGGCAAAGGCCGTGTTCTGATGCAAAGATAAGGTGGTGCTCCACTAAATAAGGTTGGAGTTATTTTGGTTGTAGTCTTGTAGAGGTGGATATTTGGTTGAGAAGGAAGGAGGTAGTGTTGGTGGTTGTTATTATTATTATTATTATTATTATTATTATTATTATTATTATTTTCCCTTTTGTCTCTTTGAACAAACAACGTAGTAAATCTAAGGGTTTTACTTTCCTTTCCCTTCCATTCATTTTCTTGATTGCATACCTGTATTATTTGTTTTATCAAAAGTTAATGGAATCAAACTACTTTCAACAAGTTACGAAATAATATTCTACTTAAAAAAGATTTTACACCGCCAACAACTAATCACATTCCCACTTCGTGTAAATAAACAAGTCTTATTAAAGAATGGGTTTGTGAGTGCTACAAAAGCCACAACCTTGCTACTTGAAAAGCAATTTTTGGCATACCCCTATGTTGACTCCCCCTCCCTCCCTCCCTCCCGCCACAACCTTGCTTCTTGAAAAGCAATTTTTGGCATACCCCTATGTTGACTCCTCCTTCCCTCCCTCCTTCCCTCCCTCCCTCCCGCCACAACCTTGCTACTTGAAAAGCAATTTTTGGCATACCCCTATGTTGACTCCTTCCCTCCCTCCCTCTCTCTCCCTCTCTCCCCACCCCCTCCCCCCCCCCCCCCCCCCACTCTCTCTCTCTCTCCAACCGAACAAAACATAGTTTCTCAATGGTCGATATCTGGTTTATAAGAAGCAACTATGCAGAAAAAGGTAAGAAACTAAGAAGACACTTATAAGAAGCCACATGCCAAGTAGAAACTTACCATGTCCAATTCTGGATATTTTATTGTAACTCAGGTCTAATATGCGAAGCCTTGTAAGCTCTCTTAAACCTTCAATGGTCGATATCTTGTTTTTGGACAAGTTCAACATATGCAATCCTCGAGGAAGAGCACCAGCAGTAATTCTCACTGCAAAACAAGCATCCAAAGTCACTACAATAAACATAGAAAGAAGAATGAAACCAGAAGCAAAGAGGTAGTAAAAAACAAAGCAAAGTACAACTTAACACGAAAAAGCTAAATTTGGAAAAGATACTAATGATTAAAGTAGATCACAGCAATTGTGCTTCACCAACCTATAGAATTCCCAGATAGATTTAGAACCTTTAAGCCAACAAATGCACTGAGAAGTGGGATTACAACCAAACCATGATTGGCCAGCTGTGCAGTGGTCGTTGTGGCATTCAGAGAAGATATGTATCTTTTTGCTGCCTCCATGCCTGGGTATAGATTCATATCCACTTTATCCAGACCATCCAAGAATGCAGATCTTCTTTTTACCTCATTACCAGAATCAGCCACTTCATTGGTCTCTTCTATGGGGCTGCAGTGCTGAAGATCAATAACCCAATCCTCAATGAGCTTGGTCTTAAATTCCCTGTTTGCAAAGTCACCCCAGGGATCAGATGAAGAGTTGCCCTGGCCATGTCCCATTACACCAATTTCATCTGGCATTGAGACTATCCAGTCTTTGCTTGAACAACCATAATTATAAGAGTCATAACCATTTAAAACAGCATTTTCTCCATCAAATTTCTCAGGACAGTTCAAATTATCATCCTTGCATAATCCAACAATCTCTGCATTATGAGCTGAAACACTTTCATTGTTAACAAAGAGCTTTTTAAGATCCTCAAAAGATCTATTACGAGAAGGCAACATGACACAGGCAGAAAGACCAGGAGAAGTTGGAGACATGGACCCAAAATTTGGCATAGAGTACGATTTAGAAATGCAGGATTGAGTAGGTGAATTCTGACCAGAACCATCGGGAGCCCCCATATGCAATGAGCGATGAGAGTCTTCAAGACCTTCCTTATTCAAATATTGAGGGTTATAAACAGCTACGACTAACTCTTGGTTTCCAATATCAGAACTAATATTGGGGCACAGCATACGAGAAGCTTCATGATTCTGATCAGGAGAGGAGATCCCTTGACTCCTGGCATCATTTGTAGGTGATACATCAACAACCTCATCACAATCATGTGACCCTTCAAAAGAAAACTCCTGATCATAGCAGTCATCACCATTACTGACACCAAAGATTCTTTCTTTTTCCAATTCACAACCAACAGAAAGACTTCTTCTAATATTCCCTGTCTGAAAGTGCATAGAGTCTGCATTACTCACAACATCATAATCACATTTTACTTCTCCAGATTTCCAACTACGTGAGGCCAATGTAAGATGCTCAGTTTCACTAGCCTCACTTTTCCCTATATGAAATTCATGCCTGGTTATAGGATTGCCAGAGAGTGCTGATTCATTATTTTGAGAACCAAGTTGCAGTGTCTTGACCATTGCTTCAAATGAAGGTTGGGCTGATTTCTGAGAAACACCAAAAATAAATAGTAAAAAGATATGGGACAGCTATAAGAATGAAGCATAGATTATTCATAACAATTTCAAGTTTAACACCAAAAACTTTAATACTAACCTTTTGCTTTTGACCGGGAGCGTGACCGTAGAAGCACGAGAAGCGACCCATTATACACTAACAGGCTTGCAGCACTGAGCAGAGCTTTACTGAACAATCAATCAAATTATCACAGAGAGCTAAGAATGACCAACTTATTTACATAGTCAAATTCAAAATTACTCCAAATAGCCCACTAGCACAATTCAAAAACTTAAAAGGTGGTAACTTTAGCCATAATCAACAGATAAACCCTCAGAAGTACGACACAATCTCCATATATGGGATGACCTTGATCTTCGCAAAACACAGAGTACAATCGCACGGTCATTAGTACCCCACACCCGCTTGGTGGTGCGAGAAAGCTTTGACTGGGTTGCAGCTGCCAGAGTGATTGAAAATCTTTGCTAAGCCAGAAAGCTGAATCCCAAGCAGATACAACAGACAGATTGTTGATGAGCAGAGACCTGAATAAAAACATTGAAATTGAACAGTTGAGTTCTATGTAATTATACTTTTCTCCTATACATTTCTCCATATTAAAGTAACATCAGCCTTTATTGTCTAAAACTCAGCACTTTTCCTCTAAGAAGCCATCATCTACTATAAATGAGTCAATGACATAATATCAAAACATAAACAAAAACAAAGATAAAAATAAAAATAAAAATAAATGCTTAAATGGTGATAAAATACGCAAAGCCTACAGGCAATTAATGCCATCAATACAATTAAATTTCTCAGATTCAAATCTAGATTTCTCATATTCATAACTACTTCCAAGAGACATGACACAGCAAAAGAGCAAACATTGTATATATTCTAAGATTTGACAGAGAGCATGAACTACTACATTCACCATCACTAATCTGTATTCAGAGTGGATTAAGGTTCAGGTAAACACAAAGGACCATAACATCTTTTGATGAATCAACTTATCCTCGTCATCTATCAGTCTCACTCATATATCACTATTTAAAACTACTATCCTCCTTTGATTCATACATAGTTATCAAATTGATAACATACCAGAGTTGGATTGCAGCAAAGTCTAAGACCAAGGTTACACAGAAAAAAGAGAGCTGAAACAACACACCAGAGGATAATAAAATGTGTAATTATGTTAAATATCCTAGAAATTTCAACAAATTAACCTTGGAATGTTATAAGTTAACTCCGCATGCATATAAGTATACAATTCCAGGTTATCCACTTTAACTATGACCATCACCATAGCACAATGATTTTAAGGAATTCCAGGTGTATGTTTCAGATATTCAATTTCTCACTTATAGGTTAGAATTTAGAAATGTTTGGGATAGGTTGACATGAAGATTCCAATTTTGCAAATTTTCGACAGGGCTAATAAAACATGCACACCAAATGTATTTCTAACTTTCTAAGTATCCTTTCCTTGGTTATAAAAGTATTTATAAGGAGAAGGTATTCCTCCAAGTAACCAACCTTAACTCTGTGACAAGTTGACACCAAAATCTCACCCATGTAAAAACGCTTAAAAAACACCACCCCAACTCGACAAATTTATCATCCTCTACATAGATAGTATACACTTTGTTATTCTGACCAATGTGGAGCACTTTGTAGCTACAATATATACTAGCTTAAATATCTGATGTGCCAAGGTAAGCTACATGGCATCGTAGCTTAACCGTTGGAGATGCTCTAATCTAGTTATTATTTTCATGATAATTATCACCAAAACCAACTATCCATTTTCACTCCTTCAATTCTCATAACAACTCATTCTCACACATCTCTAGGTAATAGCAAGTATTATTAATCATGTAAGGATAAAAACAACCAACTTAATGGTAGAAGTTCGTGACCGGGGTTAAATCCACAACATGGTCTAAATCAAAACCAAAACACAGCCTAAGTCAAATTCAGAACAATGCCTAGGTCGAATCCAAAACGCGTCTATGTTAAAACCAAATCCTGGTTAAAATACCAATACAATTACAAGTTTTCTTTTACTAACATGACTTCCTGAATAGGAATAAGCAAAATTTCAAACATAGTGAAATATAAAACATACTTAGTAATCTCCAGTAATAATTCAATTACCAATCACCTTAGCAAATACTAAAAAAATCCCATTATAAATAAGCAAAAATACGCAAGATTAAGCATATATTACATTTACATAGACCATATATATCAAATAAATAAAAACCCATTTCTTTAACATTCAATTTCAAATTTACATAAATAAAAATATATTTAAACATATACTTTTAATCGTTTATAACAAAAACAAAGAAGAATTATATCAAAAATAATGAAAGAAAATCAACCCCTAAAAACGATCATACCATAAAATCTTTGAAATTAATTGAACAATAAATTAAACAATCATCACAAATTAAAAACAAATTCAACTACAAATTAATAGAAAAAAAAATTTGAATAACTTACGGAAAATACAAGAATTAAACATGTTGATAGCCAGATTTTTGTCCAATGAAAGGAGAGAAAGGAAGAAGAGGCAGAGAGAAAAGGGGTATTCTCAACTTTGCGGAGCAATGACGAAAAGCAAATTTATTCCAAATTTTTTTTTTTTTTTTTTTTTGGTATTTTCTTAAGGTTTTTTATTTTAATTTCTTTACTTTTCCGCCGTCCAAATCGGAAGCTCCAAAACTAACCCTAATAAAATCGTATATTTTTCCAGCAAAAAATAAATAAATAAATTTATAAAAGTTTTTTTGGGGCACGAGAGACAGGCGGAAGATTCAGCTGAGCATTTGAGCAAGTTGCGAACTTTATTTATTTATTATTTCTATATTTCTTTATTTATTAAAACACTTAAAAATCTTTATAATTTCTTTCTGTTGATAAAATGATATTCGTCAATGAATTTATAGCCACAAAATTAATCAAAATAAAAGCAAGTAAGGAGTATTATTCTTTGAAAAAGAGCCATGGAAAATTGTGAGAGATAAGGCAATTTTAGAACCTCTTTTATTTACATCTAATGATCTAAAAATCTGGCTATCAACATATTTGATTCTTGTATTATTCTATAAGTTTTTTTTGAAATTGTTTTTTTACCATTAAAATTTCTATGAGTTTTATTTTACCATCAAATAAAAAACTAAAAATTGTTTTCTATTAAGAGCAAAGCCAATGGTTGCTAGGAGAGAGAAATCTAATGACCAGGTCATGGTCATGACCATTGGCAAAGGATAGGCAAACAATATGTGTGTGCCACTTGTCACGGTATGAGTGGACTATCTTTTTTATTTTATTTTCTTAGTTAGTGATGAATATTATGATCATAAAAAATTAGAGGGCAACCAATGGGTATATGTGGACATAAGTGGGCATAGATGAGATGGAAGATAGAGATATAAATAAAAAAAAAGTTGATGACCACCATTGATTTGGGCAACTATTGGCTTTGCTCTTAACTACCATCAAAATAACCCTTATATCAAATGAAATAAAAAAAAAATAAATAAATAAAAACCTCATTTTTTGTGCCAAACACATGCTCTATAGAGGTTTTGGGGCTACGTTGAGTCTGATTTAAGGTCGAAATTGACAAAAAATTACTGCAAATGTCTTGTTTTACCAACTTAAAACATTGATGCCTAAGCTTTATGACATACGCAAAATGAGACATTTTCAATAAATTTTAATTAATCTAAACTCAAATTGGACCAATGTGATCTCTAAAACCTCTAAAGAGCTTGTTTATGGTACAAAAATCGAAGAATTTTTTTTTAAAACGTTAAATTTAACGGTTTTCTTAATGACAAGTGGTGAAAAAAAATTTTAAAATTTTTATTGAAGGTAAAAAAATAAAATAAAAATAAAAAATCATGGTTTTTATTTTTTTTTGGTAAAAGTCAAATCCTAATTTTTATGTTACAAGTTCAAGAATAATTTTTAAATAACAAAATAAATTAAAATGTAGATTTTTTTTTTTAAAATAAGTGTATAAACTTTTAAGTTATATGAAACAATAATTAATGTAAATTATCATGTATGTTTTAATAACTCTATGAATTTATATGTGCAAGAAATGTGCTTATATTTGACCAGTCTTTAGACTTGCTACTAGGGAAAGCGTATCAATATAGGGTATGAATTTGTGTTAGTATTGTTACTAACAACAAATCCTTAGTCCCAAAATGATTTTGGATCGATTAACATGAATCATCATAAGAAATCGCATAGTATTAAAAAAAACAAAAACAAAAAACAAAAAACAAAGATAACAAAACTATCATTTAAAAGAGTTTGAAAAAAGGAGAGTAAATGAAACAACGAGCATTTACGAAAAATTAAGAGTTTTAAAAGAAAAACAAGAATAAAATTCAAGAAAGTTTTAAAAGAGTGGTTAAAACGTTCTAAGTTGAAAACATAATGTTTGAGAAAGATTTATCAAAGGAAAACAAAACACTTCATATAACATTAGTGAAATAAATATAAATTTAAAAATGAAAATGAATTTAAAAAGTATAAATACATAATTAAATATGGGCCTCGTGACGTGACGTGCCGAGCCATGCCCGGCCGTGCCACGTGCCGTGCCGGCGGGTCGTGCCGACGTGCCGGCCCACGGGTCGGCCACCGTGCCGCCCGTCGTGACGCATGTCGTGCCCGTGCCAAAACTGATTTTTTGTTCACAGCACGGCCCACAGGCGTGTCGGGCCCGTGCCGCCCGCGTGTCGGCACGGCCCGTGCGCACCTTTGTACATAATCCATTCATGTCATTGACGTAAATATTCTCCCTCTACACCGCCCTCTCCAACTAACACCATATTCTCCTCAATCCTCAAAGCTCTCATGTCACTCTCAATCACTCTCTTCCAAGCTTTCTTAGGTCTTCCTCTACCTCGCGCAATCCCAACACTTTGAAATTCTTCAAGTTTCTTTACCGGGGTGTCACTTGGTCTCCTATTTATATGCTAAACCATCTTAAATGATTCTTCCTCATCTTGTACTCAATTGATGTAACCCCTACTTTCTTCCTTATTATCCTATTCCTTAACCTATTCTTTCTTCTATGACCACACACATTCATCGCAACGAACATATGCATCTCCGCCACATGCTTCTTATGCACGTGACAATGCTTTATAGCCAACATTTTGTACCATATAATTAAAAAAGCATGCCTTATTGTCGTTCGATAGAATTTTCCCTTTAATCTATGGGGCACGCCTGGATCACATTAAAAAAAATCGTCACACTCTTGTAGGGAAATATAGGTACTACGCAACGGAAATAATCATGAATCATATTCATATAGCACCTAACCAAGGATCTCATGCATAACACATAAAGAGTAAGAATAATACCTTTGAAGCGTGATTCCACAAGTGATCGAGCAAGAACAATAAGGAGAACAAGAACCCCGCGTGTGATTCCTCTACTTAGTCCACAAGCACGAATTAAACCTCCACTAATGCTAGTTAGTTGTGGCTGAACGCTTCAATCAACCTTCAATGGAGATCCGAGCCACGAATACACCACACCACCACCCACGTGCCACCACACGTGCCGCCCACAAGGGAGAGTCGTACGGACAGGGAGGAGAGAGAGAAAGGGCCGAGTAGAGAGAGAGAGAATTAGGGTTTTGGGATGCTTGGTTGTTTGTGTGACAATTTACTGTATGTCAATTGTTATATCATGCAACCCTAGGCATGGTTTATATTTATAGATCATATCTTGAAATAAATCATGTCAAGTCCAAAACCCATTAGACTCTTCTAACTATCCAAGCCCAATCATCAACATGGTATGTCATGAACTTATGAGGCCCAATAATGGGCCTCTAACTTGTTTAACCCAATACTCTTATGTGTGACCTTGTAGGATCCATTCTATAAGGCTTTGGGCCATTAAGCTAGCCCAAAGATCAATTGTCATATCTAGCACCAAACATTGACGACCCTATATAATGAACTTATTATCTCCATTATAGTGATCCTTGATATATCTAGTAATTGCACTTATCGAAGACATAACTCCTTCAATCTCCCACTTGTCTGAGACAAGTGCGCAATATTCAAATTCCTTAAGTCAATGTGTGTCGATTTGATAATATGATTGCATCTCATGTCGTGATCATATTAGTCTACAAATCTTTTCTTGAAAACTGAGTGAGATTCACAGAACAAATGATTACTATGTAATCCATTTGAGCACGGCCATGCATTTTTCTGAATTCTGCCTCTTCAAGGGGCCAAGACACACTCCTAATTAAATAGGTAGACTCAATTCAATCTTGTGGCAACCAAAGCTCCCACTCAATCTATGAAATAACCGGGAAACACCCTTTATAATCTCCAGTTACGGGCAGAGGTTTGAGTGTACCACAGCCATAACATCCATTGAATGAAATCAATGTTCCACTCATGTCAAAGGAATCCACTAATATATCCGGAAGCTCTATACTTGAACTTCAAAGTAGGTCAGTAGTTCGATCATGCATCATTCATACATATCCATGTGATTGACCGAGCCTCACTATGCTCCTATAGCCCATGAAACTGCGCTATCCAATCAATCTTACATGCTAGTCTAATTTTAGAAATCATTTATGTCTAGTTTAAGATTCCGAACTAGGAACTTAAATAATATATGGATTTTGTTCACCTGTGGGTTTCATTCACCAGGTCATCAACCTAATAAGCCCATCAATCCATAATTATTTTGGACATTTTATTTAATATTGAAAACCATCATTAAATAAGAGAAATAATAAAATTTCTGATTAAACATAATTCTGCAAATGAGTGTATTACATATGTAACTTATTTTTCTCCAAAAATAAATACAACTTCTAATTACATCATTTGCCTCAATCCAGATTCACTAGCATGTTTCTCATGCTTTGGAAGTGGAAGGGGTTTAGTGAGTGGATCAGCAATGTTCTCATCCGTATGAATTTTGCACATCTTGACATCTCCTCTGTCAACGATCTCTCGAATGAGGTAATATTTCCTCTCTACATGTTTGGATTTGAAGTGTGACCTAGGCTCCTTTGACTGAGCAATGGCGCCATTATTATCACAATACAACTAGATTCCCTTTTGAGCACTTGGTATGATATCCAGCTCAGTTAGAAACTTCTTAATCCAAACTGCTTCCTTAGCTGCTTCAACAGCAGCTAAATATTTTGATTCTGTTGTAGAGTCTGCGACAGTGCTTTGCTTCGAACTCTTCCAGCTCACTGCTCCTCCATTCAGACAGAAAATGTATCCAAATTATGATCTGAAATCATCTCTATTTGTTTGGAAACTCGCATCAGTATAACCTTTGACAACCAACTCATTTTCGCCACCATATACTAGAAACATTCCTTTAGTCCTTCTCAAGTACTTAAGGATGTTCTTGGTAGCTGTCCAGTGTGCTTCTCCTGGATTTGCCTAAAACCTGCTACACATACTCAGAGCATATGCAACATGCGGCCTCGTACATATCATGGCATACATGATTGACCCTATTGCCGAATCATAAGGTTTATCAACAATACGTCTCATCTCTTCTGGCGTGTTAAGGCATTGAGATTTACTGATCGTAATGCCATGAGACATGGGGAGAAATCCTCTCTTAGAGTCTTTCATGGAATACCTATCAAGAACCTTATCAATATAAGTTTCTTGACTTAATCTAATCATCCTTCAAGATCTGTCTCGATGTATCTCGATCCCCAATATGTATTCAGCCTCTCCTAAGTCCTTCATGGAAAAACAACTCTTCAACCACTCCTTGACTGACTCAAGCATTGGTATGTCATTTCCCATGAGT